AAACTAAGAATAACATGACTTCAGTCTTTTTAAATATATTTTATTCATTATGCTATTACAGTTGTCCTATTTTTACCCCCTTTATTACCCTCCACCTTGTATCCCCTTTCCACCCATACCCCTCCCCCCTTAGTTTATGTCCATGAGTCATACATATTAGTTCTTTGGCTTCTACATTTCCCATACTATTCTTAACCTCCCCCTGTCTATTTTCTACCTACCATTTATGCTACTTATTCCCTCTACATTTCCCCCCATTTCCCCCTCCCCCCCCACCACTGATAACCCTCCACATGATCTCCATTTCTGTGAATCTGTCCCTGTTCTACTTGTTTGCTTAGTTCATTTTTGGTTTTGTTTTTCTAGGTTTTGTTGCTGGTAGTTGTGAGTTTGTTGTCTTTTGACTGTTTGTATTTTTTATATTCTTTTTCTTAGATAAGTCCCTTAACATTTCATATAATAAAGGCTTGGTGATGTTGAACTCTTTAACTTGACTTTATCTGGGAAGCACTTTATCTGCCCTTCCATTATAAATGATAGCTTTGCTGGATAGAGTAATCTTGGATGTAGGTCCTTGCCTTTTATGACTTCAAATATTTCTTTCCAGCCCCTTCTTGCCTTCCAGGTTTCTTTTGAGAAATCAGCTGACAGTCTTATGGAAACTCTTTTGTAGGTAATTGTCTCCTTTTCTCTTGCTGCTTTTAAGATTCCTTATCTTTAGTCTTGGGTAATGTAATTATGTGCCTTGATGTGTGCTTCCTTGGGTCCAACCTCCTCGGGAGTCTCTGAGCTTCCTGAACTTCCTGAAAGTCTATTTCTATTGCCAGATTAGGGTAAGTTCTCCTCCATTATGTTTTCAAATAAGTTTTCAATTTCTTGCTCCTCCTCTTCTCCTTCTAACACCCCTATGATTCTGATGTTGGAATGTTTAAAGTTGCTCCAGAAGTTCCAAAGCCACTCCTCATTTTTTTGAATTATTATTTCTTCATTGTGTTCTGGTTAACTGTTTATTCCTTCTTTCTGGTTCAAACCATTGATATGAGTCTCAGTTTCCTTCTCCTCACTGTTGGTTCCCTGTACATTTTCCTTTATTTTACTTTTCATAGATTTCACTTTTTCCTCTATTTTGTGAGCATACTCAACCAATTCTGTGAACATCCTGATTACCAGTGTTTTGAACTCTGCATCTGATAGGTTGGCTATCTCTTCATCACTTACTTGTATTTTTTCTGGAGCTTTGATCTGTTCTTTCATTTGGGACATATTTTTTCTCTCAGTGCACTTGTTACATAGTAAGGGATGGAGCCTTGGGTATTCGCCAGGGTGAGGCAACCCATGTTATTGCATTGTGGCTATGTATGTGGGGGAGGGGTCCAAGAGGGAACAATACCCCTTGCTCAGCTCTTGGCTGGCTTTTAGTCACTTCCCCCACTTCCCACAAGCAAATTGTGCCCTTCTGGTGCTGATTCCCAAGGGTGGGGGTGGTTTTGTGTATGTTCCAGGACCCCGTGAGTCTCTCCAGTGAACTCTCCTGTGAGGCTGGGAGTCTCTCCTGCCACTGAAACCCCCACAGGTTTTTTCAGTCAGAGGCTTTGAGACTTTATTACCCCATGCTAGAACCCTATGTTGCTCAGTCTGTCTCACTCCCCTGTGGTTCCTCCCAGTTTATCCACATGCACATGTGAGACCACCTGGTCCACCAGCCACCACCTTGCTCTGTCCATCAGTCGCCACCTTGCTGCAAGTCCTCTGTGCCCTGGCTGCTCACCTATGCCCCTCCTACTGGTTTGGATGAATGTTTCTTCTTTAACTCCTTGTTTGTCAGACTTCCATACAGTTCAATTTTCTGTCAGTTCTAGTTGTTCCTTGTTTTTAAATTTGTTGTTTTCCTTCTTTTGATTGTGTGAGGAGGCACAGTGTATCTACCTATGACTCTGTCTTGGCTAGAAATCACATTACTTCAGTCTTCATTCTATTTTTTATTGTTTATTTTATTTTAAACACATTTTATTTCATTGACAATTCCTTGAAACAAAATTTTCAAAAAAAAAAGCAAAACAAATTGCAAGTCTTTTAGATACCTTATCAGCTAATAAAATACAGTCTTCCTATTGGTGCATTTGGTGTTGTAGAAGGTTGGTAGACTTCTATTCCAATATGAGCCCAACCCAGACAGCATTGCATCAGATTACCACTAACCAATAATAAAGCACAGAGCAAAATACCTACAAAGTCAGCCAAAAAAAAAAAACCCACAAGTAGCTTAAACACATTTAAATTCAACATATAGGAGTAAAAGCAAAATTGCATGTAGAAAAATTACTGAAGAAAAAATCATGTATTTATGAAGAAGTTTTGATATATATATTAAATCAATGCTTTTTGAGAAACTGAAATATAGAAAATATCCTAAACATCTTTGTTTTTGGACATACCATGACTACTCTTCCCTGAAGTGGGGAGTCTGATTTGATATTATTTCAGAAACTGAAGTGGACCAAATAATCCATATTTTTGAAGTGTAACCAAGAAATTCACAGCATTCTGATAAGTCACCAGGCCCTAGGAATACAATGTGAGTAGTCAGTTACCTCTGTCAGCCTTGGGGGGAAACAAACATCAACAACAAAAGCAATAATTACAATGCAAAGTGCAAGGTTATTTAATAGATGTGTATGAGAGATTATCAGGAAGCCAGTGGGGGAGAAAAGTTTCTAAAGTTCATTGAAGACCTACAAAGCCCTTTCTGTTTCCAGTGTACATTTTATGTTACCTCATTTAAGATGAGAATAGAATGGGAAAGTTATGTATTTCTCCAAGAGCAATGAAGAATATTCAGTAAATAGAATTCATGTAAATTGCCAGAATTTAAAAACACCAGCAAATTATAGATCCAAGATTAAATCAGGTCATCTGATTCCAAAAATGGCTCTTTCCAAAAGTCTACAAGGCATGGACCAACCATACTGAAGGTATCGAAGCCTTTACCGTGACTGAGCAAAACTTAGGGGATGTTCTCTATTCCCTGTGTATAATTTTACAGAAATAAATGGATGGAGGGCTCTGCACACACAGCAAACACAAAGTCTGCACAGATTTTTGGTTGGCAGATTTGGGCATGTTTATATATATTCAAATCCAGAGAGAAATGCTGACTCTCACCATGAAGGTAGGTCAGTAATCTAACTAATTTCTGAATTAAAAACACAAAAATTTCAAAACATAATACAGCTTCATACACAAAATTACATGCTAGGAATACGTAGTTCTATTTTAGCTCACATATATGCTGTAATTCATAAGCAGATTTTAAAGTGATAAAGTATCCCTGATTATGTGGATAGATAGGTAGACAGGAAAGCAGATGGAGATACATTTGACATACATGTCAGGCATCATCATTCTAAGCATTTTCCATGTAGTATCTTATTTGATCATTGTAACATTCCTACAAGGAAAAGACAGTTTTGCTCTCAATATTACAGAAAAAAAAAAAACAACAACTGAGCAACAGAGAGTTTAGGCAACTTTCTGAATGTCACACAAATAATAAATGCATTTGAACCTATACCGAGTCAGTATGTGTGTGTACAATTATTATTTATGATTTGTGCATAGGTTTTCTATAAAAATGAGAAATGACATAATTCCACAAAAATAACATGGAGTTCTACCATGTGGTAGCACTCAATATGCCATGTAACCTGTTTTTGTTGTCTGAGGATAAAAATATTTTGCTAATTTCATGATACTCTTTTTATGGATGAGTCCATTTGTCTTTTCCTTTCCTAAATTAACAAGTCTGTCTAGGTATCTCTTATCAGAACAAGTATGAGTTTGCTCATACTCTTTCTGGTTTATCACATTTGGCATGATCATCCCACAGCTATGTGACAACAGGCATGATGGTAATTTTCACTGGTGAGTGAGAATAAAGGGAAACAAACAAACAAAAAAAACACAGCACAGCTTAAGAATAACCAGAGACACTGAAAGTAAGAATAAACTGACAGTAACTAGAGGGGAGGTGGGAGATGATAATGGGGAGAAGGGAGAAGGGTTTTCAGGGACATCTATAAAGGACACATGGACAAAACCAAAGGGGGTGGGATCGAGGGTGGAAAGTGGGGATGGCTGGGTCCAGGCGGCAGGGGTGGGGGGTGGATGGAGACAACTGTACTTGAACAACAATAAAAAAAAGTTAAAAAAAAAAAGAATGCTAGCTGACTTACTTAGAGAGGAAAACTACTAAAGTAAGTGAGGTAGGGGGAAGCATTTCCGTAAAGTAATAAAAGATGTAGGAGAAATGTGGAGTATTATTTATGCAAGAGAGGGTATGAGTTTGTGCATATGAAGACATTTGGTGTACATTTTATGGTGTGTATTATATCCCAATATAAATGTGTTTTTTTAAATGGGCTTTTATAGAAAAGAAGGAAGTTGGTGGCCAGTTTTGCCCCGTCCTGTAACGATGAATGCTTTCCCTGTCTCAGCCTGCCCAGCCCAAGGATGGGTAGAAATAGCTAACATCTGGCCAACATGAATGAAGATATATCTAAATAATCGAGAACATGCCCTCTCTTGCAGAATTTTTGGAGCAAGATGGAGAGTACAAGCATTAGCTGTTGCCAGAGGCTGTGGTGATTCTGTGGTGCCACAGCAAAGGTAGTTTAGAGACACTGGCAAAGAGGAGTTTAGCAACAGTGACAAGATTCGAGAGAAAAGTGACAAGTGATACTACACCCTCGGAGAGGCAGAGAGCGGGCTGGCTGCAGGGTCTTTGCTAGGACTGCATATATTTCCTTGGGTTTGGGGGAAGGAGAAGGCATTCTTTCAAACTCTCCGATCTCCTTCTTGGCTTGTCCTAGGTCTGTGCTGGTGCCTTCCCTCTCTCCAGTCTGTTTCCTAGCCTTTCCCAGGTTAGTGCCCTTCCCCTTTTCGTGGTCGCCATCTTGGCTCCTGCTGCTCTTGCTTCATAGTTCTGAGTCATCTTTCTGGGCTTCTCCTGTGCGTGTGCTCAGCGGGAGGTATTTCAGGTAACTTTTTCTTTCTCTCCCAGGTAATCTGGAGCAGCAATTTGCATTACCCCCTGGGTGGCTGTAAGGTTGTCTTTCCTGCCAAGTTGACAAAGTAGGATGTAGTCCGGAACAATGGGTGAGTGTGAAACTGCTGTTTCTCAACGCAGTCAGACCTTGTCTGCTCCCTTCTCTGTGGTGAACAACCAACTGCCTACTCTGACATTACCATCTCATTGTCTATAATATTAATTTCAATTATTTCGTCGTTCTCATTAGATATATGGCACTGTAGACCTTTCAAAAATCTATTTTCTTTTATCTTAGTTTACAAATGCTTTGGTGTTTTAGTTTACTGGAACTGCCACAAAGCATGACAAACTGGGTAGCTTAAACGCCAGTTATTTATTGTGCCACAGTCCTGGAAGCCAGATGTCTGAAACAGGCATTGGTAAGATTGGTTCCTTGTGAGGGCTGTTAGGAAAGGAAGGGTCGAGTCCAGCCACTCTCCTTGGCTTGTAGATGGTTGTCATCGTGTCGATGTGACATTTCTGCCTGTGTGTGAGTCTGTCTCCAAAATTTTCCCTTTCTAACCATCATTTAAACATTTTTTAAATTATCATTGACATACAATATACAATATTATGTTAGTTTCAGGTATACAACATAGTGATTCAATATTTATATGCCTTATGAAGTGATCATCACAATAAGTCTAGTAACCATGTGTCACCATACATAGTTATTATGATGTCATTGATGTTATTTCCTGTGCTGTACTTTATTATTTATAACTGGCGGTTTGTACTTCTTAATCCCCTTCCCTTTTGACACCCAATCCCCCACCCTTTGAGAAACCATCACAAATATTTAAAAATTGGGATGATCACCTCCTGAGAAATATAAATGCCTAATCACTATGCCATTGAAAGGAACAAAGTTCTGCCACTCTGATGCTGCTTTGGGGGATATTGATTTTAAGCTATTTATTAAGAAACAAAAGTCTCAAAAAGAAGCTTTGATCCTCCTTATCTTCCTGCCAAAGAGATTCAGACAGACAAACCTACTTCATGAAGGAGAGTTTAGGATGTCATTTTAGCCTAATTTCAATTAATCATAGTAAACAAGATGGCTTCTCGCAGGTGCCTATTAGCTAGATACCCACCTGTGTCCCATTGTTTCTGAGTTTCCTAGGAAGGATTTTCTTGCCTTGTGCATCTGCTTTTCCTCAACTACTTGTAAATTGTCCATATTCACTTCTGATTTCTAATAATTCACGTCGCTTCCTTCTCCTCATTAGACATTGCCTAAAATGTCTTATATACCTAATGTTGCCCCACTATCTAGTGCTACCTCATTAACAGACTTAAAAAGTAAAACCACATGATTATAAATGTAATCATGTAAATGTATATAAAGCATTCAATAAATGTATATAAAGCATTTGGTAACATTCACTGTCTATTAAGATAAACCCTCTTAGGAAACTAAGAATAAGAGAATACATCCTTAACTTACTAAGGTTATATGTTAAATTTGTACAGCATTTTTATGTTGCTTAATAATTAAATTTTTAAAATTATATTTTATTGATTAGGCTATTAAAGTTGTACCAATTTTCTCCCCTTGCCCCCTCCTCCTAGTACTCCCCACTCCCTCAGGCAATCCCCATGCTATTGTTCATGTACATGGGTCATGCTTATAAGTTCTTTGGCTACTCCATTTCCTAAACTATAATTTACATCCCCATGGCTATTCTGTAACTATTTGTATTTCTAATCCCCTCACCTCTTCACCCATTCCTTTACACCCCCTTCCATCTGGCAACCATCAAAATGCTATCCATATCAATAATTCTGTCTCTGTTCTTGTTTGCTTAGTTTGACTTTTAGATTCAATTGTTGATATATATGTATATATTGCCATTTTATTGTTTATAATTTTGATTTTTTTCTTTTCTTAAATAAGTCCCTTTAACATTTTATATAATAATGGTTTGGTGATGATGAACTCCTTTAGTTTTTTCGTGTCTGGGAAGATCTTTATCTGCCCTTCAATTCTAAATGATAGCTTTGCTGGTTAGAGCTATCTTGGCTATAGATTCCTGCTTTTCATGACTTTGAATATTTCTTGCCAATCCCTTCTAGCCTGCAAGTCTCATTTGAGAAATCAGCTGACAATCTTATATAAATTCCCCTGTAAGTAACTAACTTCTTTTTTCTTGCTGTTTTTAATATTCATTCTTTATCTTTGACCTTTGGAATTTTAATTATGATGTGTCTTAGACTGAGACTCTTTGTATCCATCTTGTTTGGGACTCTCTGTGCTTCCTGGACTTGCATGTCTATGTCCTTCATCAAATAAGGGAAGTCTTCTTTCATTACTTTTTCAAATAGATTTCTTATTTCTTGCTCTTTCTTTTCTCCTTCTGGCATCCCTATGATGCTAATGTTGACCTTTTGAAGAAATCCCAGAGGCTGCTTATATTATCCTCACTTTTTGGTTTCTTTTTTCTTCTTATTGTTCTGATTAGTTGTTTTTTGTTTCCTCATGTTCCAAATTCTTGATTTGATTCTCAGCTTGTTTCTCTGTGAATTGTTCTTTATTTCAATTAGTGCATCCTTTGTTTCTGATTGGATCTTTTTTATGCTGCTATGGTCCTCATTAAGTTTCTTGAGGATCCTTATAAACAGTGCTTTGAACTCTGGCTCTGATAAATTTCTTATCTCCATTTTTTTTTTGTTCTTTTTCTGGAGTTTTGAGCTGTTCTTTCATTTGGGCCATGTTTCTTTGTCTCATTTTGGCAGACTGCCTGTGTTTGTTTCTATGTATTAGGTAGAGCTCTGATGACTCCTTGTCTTGGTAGCATGGCCTAATGTAGTAGGTGTCCTGTAGGGTCCAGTGACACAGCCTCCTCTATCACCCAAGCAGGGTGCACCCTTAGTGTGGGCTGAGTATACCTTCCTCTTATAGTTAAACCTTGGTTGCTATTGGAAGATCAATGGGAGGGATTTACCCAGGCCAGTCAGCTGCAAGGACTGGCTGTGACCACTAACCACCAAACTCTGCCCTCCATGGAAGATCAGCTGTGCAGAGGCAGGGCGGTGGTTCTCTGATGTGGTCTGTAGCTCTTCACTGGGTGCATAGGCCCTGGGTTTTCTCTGGTGGTATGGGCCAAGGTCAGCCCCAATCTGTGTTTTACCTGGGGCCACTCTGCATGAGCTATAAATCAATCTGAGATAGTTGCTACTTGTGCTGGACTTGGAGATTCCCAGGTAAAGCCAAGTTCTGAATCTAGGCTGCCTGCTGCTAGTGCCATGCCTGGGGCTACTTAGCAAGAGATATGGAGGCTGGAAGCTCACTGATACTGGCTGTTGCTTGCTTGAGAGGATTTAACAATTTGTGAAATATGAGCTAAGACCAGCCATTCATATGGAGAAGTCACTGTTAACAGCTGTAAGTTGGGTAGGATGGAGCTTCAGGGGATCTCCAGGGCAGGGCAAACAGTGTTAGCCAGGTTGATGGAGTCTTAGATATGGCACCAGCCTGCTGGCTCTGTAGCTCTTGGGGTGAGGATTCGGAGAAGGGACAATGGCCTCTGCTTTTCTTCTGTCTGGGACAAAGCTGTCCTGCAGCTTTTGTCTTGATGGCAGACACTTCTGTTCCTCCCTGTATGCCACTAGTGCCAAGCTGCTACCCCAGTGCCGGAGCTCAATGGGAGGGAGACTGAGTAAGTCTGTGTTTGGATTTTTAAAAAGGAATTGCTTAGGACTCTTGGAGTTTCTTCCACCAATTCAAACCCTGCTGATTTGTATAGCCAGAAGTTATGGGGACTTATCTTCTTGTCACTGGAGCTGGTCTGGGTGACCTGGTTTGGAGCTGGGACTCCTTTCTTCTGAGATACCCCTTGCAAATTTTTATCCAGCACATGTGGATGTGGGACCAGCTCATTCCACATCTCTGCCCCCTACCAGTCTAGATGGATGTAGTTTCTTTCATTCCATAGTTGTCAGACTTCCATTCAACTTGATTTCTCATGGTTTTGAGTGATGGTTGTATTGTAATTTAGTTGTAATTTTGATGTGTTTGTGGGAGGAGGCAAGCCATGCTTACCCATGCCACCATCTTGAGCAGAAGTTCAATAATGAAATTTTATACAGATTTTATAATAACAAACAGTAACAATAACAATAACAATAACCAAGTAGACTCTTGGTTATTGGTACTGTTTTTTTTGTCTGTGTAAAATTTTTGTTATTGTTGTTCAAGTACAGTTGTCTCCATTTTCCCACCACCACTTTCCCCCACCTCCCACCCTCAATCCTTCCCCCCTTTGACTTTGTCCCTGGGTCCTTTATAGATGTTCCTTGAATACCCTTCCCATTCTTTCCTTACTGCTTAACATGATATAATGTTAGCAGTTGTAAGGAGAGATACAAGAAAAGCAAAGGAAATAAAAGTTGCTTCTGTTGTTATTTCTTCTTATGTAATCACAGTATTTGAAATATTGAGATGTATTTCTCCTAATAGAATCCTTTTCCCTTTTAGTGTGATCATGAAACTGAAGGAAACCAGGGTATGTCACCCCAGTGTATGCTTTTTGACATAGAAATTATTTTGAGTTGAAGGCAATTAAGAAGGAGTAAATGCTAGGAAAACTCACCCTGCCCTTTACATCCATTTCTGCCTAAAGACAGAATATAAATCCTCCCTTTATTGGAGACAGACACTTATCAGTACACCTTGCTCTATTAGTTCCCTCCTAAATATTTACCTTCCCAGAGATGCCACCTTGGGAAGCCTGAAACTGCCTTTCCCTTGTCCTGTCATTTCTCTAGAGATTTATGCATTTATTTTTGTTGAAAATACTATATAAGCTAGAGTTTTAAGCCACCACTTTGAATTCCTCTTCCTTTAGTTTTCTCTCTTATAATGTGTCCCCACACCAGTTAATGAACTGTTTTACTCTTGTCAATCTGTTTTTTGTTCATACCAACTGAAAATCTAAGAAAGATCAGTAAAGGTAAAGATTTGCCTCTCCTACAAAACCTAGTAACTTTTCTCAGTTTTCAGTCACTAGGTCTGCTCTGCTGTTTTTGATTTTTTTTCTTCAAATTTTTGAAATGTATTTATTTCATTCATTAATTTATTTTTATCCTCATTTGAGGACTTTTTTTGAGGATTTTTTTCCATTTTTAAAAATTTTATTGTTGTTCGACTACATTTGTCTGCCTTTTTGTACCCCCATCCTCGCCCCCCTCCCCTGATTCCAACCCCTCCCCTTGGTTTTGTGCATGTGTCCTTTATAGTTGTTCTTGAAAACCCTTCACCCTCCCCCTCCCATCTCCCCTTTGGCTACTGTCAGATTGTTCTTAATTTTAATGTCTCTGGTTATATTTTGCTTGCTTGTTTGTCTTATTGATTAGGTTCCACTTAAAGGTGACATCGTAGGGTATTTGTCTTTCACTGCCTGGCTTATATAATTTAGCATAATGTTCTCCAGATCCATCCATACTGTCGCAAAAGATAGGAGCTCCTTCTTTCTTTCTGCTGCATAGAATTCCATTGTGTAAATGTACCATAGTTTTTTGATCCATTCATTTACTGATGGGCACTTAGGTTGCTTCCAACACTTGGCTATTGTATATTGTGCTGCTATGAACACTGGGGTGCATGGGTTCTTTTGGATTGGTGTTTAAGGATTCTTAAGGTATAATCCTAGCAGTGGAATTATTTTTTCTGATATTGAAATATGTGTGTGTACACATTGTATATACACATTCTTCCCCAATTATTTCTACATCTGCTAATAATGTGTCAGACAAGATTCTACTAATCATTAATAGAATTATTACTGTTTGTTCCTAACCTCCTAACATTTCTATGAGAACCACATCCCACCTTCTAATTAATTTCCTCACCACAAAATACTGCTTTTATTGACATCCTCTTGCTTGAATGCATTAAGCATCTTCCCCTTATTACTTACAGTATAAAGAAAACAATTTTATCCTACAGTTAAGTTCTTGTCACATGACCTTATGAATCCTTTCTTCCCTACCTTTTGTTTTTATAAATTGATGCATCTGTTATAGTCATTTGCCTGATCAAGTCCTTTTTATTTTAATTTTTTTAATCCTCATCTGAGGACATTTTTTTTCATTGTTTGTAGAGAGAGAGGAACAAAGAGAGAGAAGCATAAGTTGGTTCCCTTGCCTATGCACCAGGGAATGAACCCACAACTTAAGTATGTGCCGTGACCGGGAATAGAACCTGCTTTGCTTTAATTATGGGGCAACAGTCCAACCAACTGAGTCACACTGGCCGGGGCCAGTCATAGACCTTTCCATGACCCTTATACTTACTTGATTAGAATTCTCATTCACATTGTTTCCACCTTTTGAAAAAACTTTGCCTTTCCTACAGCCTTCTACTAAGTCTAAAGCATCTCCCCTCTCCCACCACCCTTCTGAATAACTGTACCAATCATTGCCACTTACCTTCTTTGTACTTTGTAAGGTCATTTTATCTTTTATTACTTTAAGAGATAGATGCTTTTAATGAGAGTTTCTTGGCTGAATTATTATGGAAGAATACATGAAAAATAAATATCCAGTCATAATTTCTCTGGAAATTTTATTATAAATGTTTATTTATTTTACAGGTCACAAGTGGATGGCTTTTACGTTCATCAGTACTGTTCTAGTGGTCATTATAATAGGTGAGTGGATTAATTAATAAACTTTCTGTGTTTATTTATGGTTAGCAGGCCCAAATATTATGTCTCAAGTTATATATGGAATCTCTCAGTTCTAAAGTAATAAATAGGTTTGTAGAGATTTTTCCTTGGGTTCCTATCAGTTCAGCAGGTTTTACACTCATTTTCTTGACTTTATAGGAGTGCTTGATCTTGGAGTAAAATGATTGTAAATTCTCAGATGACAACCAGACAGCAACATCAATAACTATTTTTTTAATGGAGAGTATTTTGTGTGAGTTTAAGGCCTAATATCAAATACGTTACATTTAATGTTTACATTCAATTTTCACAAGACTACAAAATAGGTATAATTATGAAATCCATTTACAGACAAAGAAATACAGGCCACAGTGAATAAGTTGCCTCTCACAAATAAATTCCAGAGCCAGAATTGTGATTCTTATATAATTCCTAATATTTTAACCACCACACACCACTCCCTCTATAATTACAGTATGTCTTTACTCTCATTTCCTTTGGAGCAAGAGTAAGTAATATTGCTAATAGTGGTTATATGAAATACTTGTTTATTTCTATTCTATTTTGATAAAATAAAAAAATAATAACATAAGTGATATTTTGCAAGATTTTCTCTGTTACAGTTGATGTGTAAAAAAGATGTTCATTTTCTTCTGGGTGTTATGGATTCATTTTGTGAAAAGAATTCAAAGCTGAATTTTAATTCCTGAGCTAGGGCATAATAGTCTTCAATACTTGATTGTCAATATGCATGCTTTGCTTAATTTAGCACTTAAGTTAGCACTTAAAGTAACACGTTATACTCTCTTTTTTTGTTTCCTTTGTCATTTGTGAGAGTATTGGATATACTTTTTGCTCAGTCTCATCTGTCACTATAGAATCCTAGGAGCTCAATGTTACTGATATTGAAATGTCTGCAATTTAAACATTTGTAGAGAAGGGTTTCTATAAGGAGTCTTTTTTAAAACTTTTATTTTATTTTATTTCATTTTATTTTACTTTAATCGTTGTCCAAGTACAGTTTTCTTTTACTCCCATGCCAGCCCACTAACCCATCCCTCCCCTCCTCCCTCCCATTTCCACTCCCCCAAGTTTTTGTCCATGTGTCCTTTATATTTGTTCCTGTAAACCCTTCCCATCCTCCCCTGGAATTCCTTCCCCTCTCCCCTCTGGTCACTGTCAGCCTGTTATCTATTTTAGTGTCTTGGGTTATATTTTGATTGTTTCTTTGCCTTGTTGTTTAGGTTCCTGTTAAAGGTGAGATCATATGGTATTTCTCTTTCACTGCCTGGCTTATTTCGCTTAGCATAATACTTTCCAGCTCCATCCAAGCTGTTGCAAAGGGTAGGAGCTCCTTCTTTTTAGAAAGGATGGAAAAAAGATAAGACTCTTGTTGGGGAGGGTAGGATTATGAATTGGATCTAGAAAGCGGTGAGGTTGTGGGAGGTTAGATTCTGAGGTAAGGTAAGAGTAAAGGATAATAAATAGGTGTAGTATGTGAGAGAATAGAGTTAACCACTACAGTAATAGATTTCAAGAGACCGTGAAGTGGGCTAGCATCTGGGAGGGGTGTTGTGTAGTATTTACAATGATATGGAATAGCTATTATTTACAGTAATAGTAGAGCAACAATCATATGACAGAATCTATGAGATCTAGATAACAAGAATAGGGAGTAAAGGACCTTGAGTAGTGTGCTAATGGGACACAAATGAAATGAAGGACAGTAAATTAGCAATACACTATGAATGAGATAACAGGGGAAACCTGTCAAATGATACAATATAACCAGCCAAGCAAAGAAGACTATACAGAAAGAAGAGAAATACAAAAATACTATTAAAATAAAAGGTGTAAGAATAATGAAAAATAATAATACAAATATGCAGTAACTTGCGGGTTCTCTGTAATAGGAAAGTGAAATTTGTCTTACTCTCTCAGCTGTTGGAATGCCCCCTCTTTGGGTCCAGCTCTGGTCTTTTCACAGTTCTGGGCTTTTTTGTCTCACTTGTGGGTATTTAAAAAGAAAAAGGAAAAAAAAGCAGAAGAAGGAAAGAAGAAGAGATAAAATTGGAAAGAAATGAAGAAGGAATGAAACTAGAAAGAAGGAAAGAGAAGCAAAAGGAATTGAGAGATATAAAAATAATAGGAATTAAAAAATTAAAAATTACTTAAAAAAATCAAACAACAACAACAAAAAAAAACCCTTTTGCTGGTTTCAACCTGGCCAAATTGGTTTTTCTGGTCTTGCTGGCTGCAGCAGGCTGAGGGTTGATTGGTTTCACCTTCCTCCCTTCCTGTTCAGCATTCAGTCAGTCTTGCACATACTCTACCCAGGACTAGCTGAGCATTCTCCCCAGAGCTAGTCTGGACTCATGACCTTGGGTGTGGGATCCGGGACTTCTTAAGTGCACACTCTCCCCAGGTTTACAGGTGTGAGCTCTGGGTCTTCCACAAAGCATACTCTCCCCAGGTTGCGGGTGTGGGTGTGCGGCCAGGCTGCCTTTGGTCGCATGAGTTTGGGCACTCTTCCCAGAGCTATGCATGGGTGCTCACAGCCCCTGTGTGTTTTCCACTTAGTCCTTATTCCCCTCTCTGCAACTTCAAGGTCTCTCCTGGTGCTGCTCAAATCTTGTTTGGCCGGGGAGGGAGTGGTTGACCCAGCTCTCTCCCAAGAGCCCTGTGGCAGACCCAGTGAGCACTGGGCCTGGGGCTGCAGCCTCTCTGGTCCCGGAGCTGATCCCTGGGCCCTTATTGTCCTGAAGCACTCTCCTTACTGTCTGATTTTCAATGTCCACTACAGTTTTTGATCTCCTATTTCCATATGTGCTGTGGTACTAGCGGCTGTTTGCTCTGTTCCTCTGTAGATTGGCTAGGTTTTTCTCCTGTGTGTAGGGAGAAGTAGAATCTGCTCCTTCCTATCACGCTGCCATCTTCCGTCTCCTGTAAGGAGTCTTTACATACATTGATTGCTTAATTCAATTGTTAAAAGTGTTGAAACACAATTATTTTATTACGCATGTGTGGTAACCTGTATCCACTTCTGCACATTACAAAAATAAATAAATAAATAAATAATCATTGCAGAGTGTGGAGAAAAGGCTTTGGAATTGGCCCTATATCTGAACATTAACTTGGCTCTTTTTTTTTTAAAGATGTTATTTATTTATTTATTTAGAGAGGGAAAGGAGGGAGAAAGAGAGAGTGAGAGAGAGAAACATCAATGTGTGGTTGCTGGGGGCCATGGCCTGCAACCCAGGCATGTGCCCTGGCTGGGAATCAAACCTGCGATGCTTTGGTTTGCAGCCCGTGCTCAATCCACTGAGCTACACCAGCCAGGGCACTTGGCTCTTTTTTAAAGATTTTATTTATTCTTAGAGAGGGGAAAGGAAGGAGAAAGAGTGAGAGTGAAGCATGAATGGAGAAACAGTGATCAGTTGCCTCTAGCCTGCTCCCAACCAGGGACCTGGCCCACAAACCAGACATGTGCCCTGACTGGGAATTGAACCAGTGACCTTCTGGTGTATAGGATGATGCTCAACATGCTCAGCCACACCAGTCAGAACTCATTTGCTTTTTCTTAGTCACATTAACTTATTCAAACATTTGGAGATTAGGAACTTTATATCATTCTTATTACTCAGCACCTAGCTCAAAACCTAAAATAGTAAATTCTGAAAGCAATGTATGTATAAATACATTCACTATTACTTCAGTTTCTTTGGCACTAAATATTGTTGAAGCAGAACAAATGTTTCACTAACTCTTACATTTCAATGATTTGTTATCATTTATGGTGAGTTTCACTTTTGTAGCTCAGATATCCTCTCTTGTCTATGACCTTCTCATTTCTTCAAGGTAAAATGAAGCCTTCATTTCTTACCTTAATCCTTGAGGCTTAAATTATATCCAGGTCTCTAGATGTATTCCTTGATTGCTAGATTTTATACATTGTTTTTGGTAGGATGTCAGTATAGACCATGAGAGGCTAGCAGTTCCATTTCTCATTATGGAAGCCAGGAAATGAGGCTAAAGTATAGACTACTTGACTACTAAATGTCTTCCTTGCAGACAGAGGAACTGAATTTATTCACCATCACATGAATGAAGTTAATTTTACAGGCCTTAAACCATGGGAGTAAAAAGTAAAACTGATTCACCAGAATGAGTAGAAACATATTTTAATTTTTAAAAATTTGATCATCTCTTTCTTTCTTTTTTTTTCAGTATGCACTACAAAACCTTTAAAAAATCCCCAAACTATAAAATGCTCAGGAGAATGGATGGGAGTAGGATATGAGTGTTTCTATTTTTCCGATGATACCAGAAACTGGACAGCCAGTAAAACATTTTGCAGGTCACAGGGATTGGAACTTGCTCAGATTGATACACCTGAAGATATGGTAAGGAAGAAGAAAGTTTTCAATCATTTCAGAGCTTAAGACTGTACAAAAAGAGAATAAAAATGGCAAAAGTTAATACTCAATAATGTAAGTCAGACAATGTTTTAAGCACTGAAACCATAAAAACTCATGTAATCTTCAACCAGTGCCTATGATGCAAGTATTCAAATATCCCTCTTTTAAAGGTGAGGAAAGTGAAGCACAGAGATGTTATGTAACCCAGTCATTGTCACACAGCCATAGCTTGTTGAACAAGCATTTGAACACAAGGAAGTTAGCTTTTGATGGTATGTCCCTAATCACAATGCAGATTGTTCATACAGCTGAAAGTCTTTGTTCAATGTTCTTAAATTATTAAATTGATTGTTTTTAATACCTTCAGAATTGCATTATTAACAATAGTCTGAGAAGATTGAAACAAACAAAGATATAGCTCTTGGAATATAGAAGTAAGAATGTGAACAAAATCCATACAGTTTGAAGAAAATGAGATAATGAATAGAATAAGTGAAAGAGGGCAAAGAAAGAGGTACTTGGACTACAGGAGTCAAGATAACTGAGAAAGTTTGTTTGTAAAGAAAAGCTGACTAATAGGTCTGTGGTCCAGTAGTGAGGATCCCAGAGAGGAGAGACTAAACTCATCACTCAAGATCTTGTATTACAATAAATGCTGGTCAGAAATTAGCTTGATTGCTGATTCTATGAGAAAACACAACGGCGATCGCATTCTTATTCTGACATTTAGTCAAAGTACTTTATCACTAAGTTTTGCTATTTTAATACTTACACTTTCAATTAAATTCTTTTCCCCCTGAAATCCCACTTCTATGATTTTTGAGAGCAAAGCTGTGCACAAAACAAAATATGAGTATTAGTTCTCTGTCAACTTTAAAAACATGCTGTAGTAGTTTCTATAAAAAATGCTTAGCTCCTGATTCTGTCATCCAGATGGATATAATGTCATATTCATTTGTCTTTGTCATTCACTCTGTGACTAAAACATACTGATAACTTATGCATCAGAACTAGAAGGATAGGAAGTCAAATGTTTTTGTCATCAATTTCCCAAGGAAGACACTGAAGTTACCTTAAAAGATAATTCAAGTCAGGGTAGCTCAGAGAGTTTAAGAAGTAAAAGAGGAGTAAAAATCTTCAGGCAAAGCTAAACTATACATCTGTACTGTTTCCTGCCATAAAAGCATTAGGGCATACAAATTAAGATGTAAATCATGAAATCTGGCTGGGGTGAAAATCACATTTAGCAGTGTGCTCTAAAATATTAAATTGATCATGCCCTGATCTTTGTGAATGGAATTTTTGAAGAAGCGCATGAGAACAATTATGCACTGGATTGGATTGAGCAGAAAACAAGGAGAATCTTGGAAATGGACAAACAGCAACCCATTCAATGATTCATGAGTTTCAAATATAGTAGGGAAGATTTATTGGTTGTACAAAAAATTAAAACATTTGGAGCTGTGACATGTGCCCTTTGACATTGAAACATACCCTAGAAAAAGCCAATCTTCCTTCCACTTTGTTAAATGGCAGTGAAAATTTTCATTTTATTTTTATTGGTTTCCCATTTTGTTTTTTCTTGGTCAGACTCTTGTTAATCCCATTGCTAATTCAAATTCAACTGTTTTGCAAATCCCAAGCCAAAGCACAAGAATTACTTGCAACTTTCCCAACTACTTCAATTTATAAAGGATCTTTCTTCTTTAAATAGAGACCATGTAGTTGTCTTTAACTTTCCAAACACCTTTCAAAAGCAGTATTATTTATTTATGTAAGGGTTTCTTGAATGAGCGTTTTTCCCTCACTAAAAAACCATTTATCTACAAGAACTATACTACTTTCCTTTTGTATATAAGTATTCCTGCCTTAGTATTTCACTATGTGCTAGATAAAAATTAAATATATCCTGAAATATGTATGATAGGAAAAATTAAGTTTATTACAAAAAAGGGAGGAATTTTGGCCATCAACAGAACAAATTAATAAAATATAAATCATTACTTTCAAAAAGGAATTCTGGCTAAAAATAGGCCAGGAAACTGCTATTTATTTAGTTACATTCTTCAATTACAGTTTATATTCAGTATTATTCTGTATTAGTTTTAGATGTATAGCATACTGGTTAGACAATCATGTACTTTACTGAGTGGCCCTCCCCCAATATTTCCAGTACCCACTTGACCCCATACATAGTTATTACAATATTAATAACAATTGACTACGTTCCCTATGTTATAATTTACATCTCTGCACCAATTGTAACTACCAAATTATATTTTAATCCTTTCACCTTTTTTCTGCAGACCCAAAACCCTCTCCCCTCTGTCAACCATCAGTCTGTATTCTACATCTGTAAGTCTGAGGAAACTACTTTTAAAAAAATTCCAGAGATCTTTGAGTTTTGCAATTTTAGGTAGATAAATAGACAGACAGATTGACAGAAATAACTATGGGTAAATGTAGATAAATTTAAAGATATATTTATATCATTGATTTATCCCTGTCTATCTATATCAATCTTTCTTCCTATTGTTCTAAATAAGTTTATGGATTACACTAATAATAGATACCTACATTCAGTCTTACATTCCTGTAACATACTGGATATTTTTGTGTAGTATATGATGATATGAGTATGGAGCTAGTGTTTTGTACAAAACATTTCAAGTCAGTCTATTCTTAATTTTATTTTTGATTACAGCAGCAAGTATATTCAAAATAGATTTTGATTTTTCTTTTTTAGGTTTGAAATTAGTGGGAATGGATTTTTTGCTTTTCTGAATGCTGATGGAGTCTACAGTTCCAGGGGATTTGTTGATATGAAGTGGATTTGCAGCAAACCTAGATTTTAATAGAGGAAAAAACTGGGATTCGTTACTAAATCCACCCAATCGGGGGTCCCAATGCTCACTGCCATACAGGCAAAACTCTGGAGATAGAGTTCAGTGGAAAGGAAAAGGAATATTTTTTAACAACCACACAATTTAAAATAAAGGTGACTTCTGCTCAAGAAGGCAGCATAGGCAGACATGGCTTGCCTCTTCACAAGACCACATCAAAATTACAACTAAAATGTAGACTAACCATCACTCAGGAACGTCAAAAATCAAGCTGAATGGTAGTCTAACCACAAATCAAGTTGAATGTAAATATGACAACTACAGAATTAAAGAAACCACATCCATCCAGACTGGGAGGGATGCAGACATGGAATGGGCTGGTCCCACACTGACGTGTATAAAAATTCAGAGTGGATATCTCAGGAACAAGGAGTCCCAGACCTAAACCAGGCCCTTCAACCCAAGATTCCAGTGCCAGGAGGATAAGTCCCCACAACATCTAGCTGCAACCCAGTGGGGATTGAGTCCATGGAGGCCGCTGCTATATCCCCAAGCAGTTCCTCTTAAACAACCCACACATGGACTCACCCACTCAGACTCATGTCCTCTGAGCTCCGGCACCACAGTAGCTGCTTGCAAGGCAAAAAGAGGCCATTGTCCCTTTTCTAAACCCTCCCCCAACAAAGCCAGCAAGTTGGTGTTATATCAGAGACTCCATCAACCTGGCTACCACTGTTTCACCCACTTTGGAGATCCCAAGAGGCTCTGCCACACCCAGCTTACAAGCCCGCCCAAGCTGATTTTGCTTAAGAATGGCTGGTCCTGGCTCTTAAATTCTATGAAACCAGCAACAGCTGGCTTCAGTGAGCCCTAGCAGCAGCCAGATTAGATTCACAGGTTGGCTTCTCATGGGAATCTCTAAGCTCAGCACAAATTAGCAGCCATCTCAGATTGCTTTACAACTCTGGCAGGGTGGGCCTGGAAAAACCACAGGTGTGGGCTAAACTTGCCTCTACTGCCCCCAGAAAACCCCAGGGTCAGTGCACCCAGTGAATACCTACAGACCGAGTCAGAGCACCATCACCCTGCCCCTGCACAGCTGATCTCCCATGGAGGGCAGAGGTTGGTAGTCAGTGGTCACAGCCAGTCCTTGCAGCTGACTGGCCTGGATAAATTCATCCCATTGATTTGCAAAAGCAACCAAAGCTTCACTACAAGAGGAGGGTGTACTCAGCCCACACTAAGAGCACACCTCAACTACCAAGCTTGGGTGATATGAGAGGCTGTTCCACTGGACCTTACAGGACTCTTGCTATATTAGGCCACACTACCAAGACAGGGAGTCAAAGAAGCTCTACCTAATATGTAGGAACAAACACAGGGAGGCTGCCAAAACCAGGAGACAAAGAAACATGGCCCAAATGAAAGAACAGATCAAAACTCCAGAAAAAGAGCCAAACAGGCCTGGCTGGCATAGCTCAGTGGACTGAGCGCGGGCTGCGAACCAAAGTGTCACAGGTTCGATTCCCAGCCAGAGTACATGCCTGGGTTGCAGGCTATAACCCCCAGCAACCGCATATTGTTGTTTCTCTCTCTCTCTCTCTCTCTATCTCCCTCCCTTCTCACTCTAAAAATAAATAAATAAAAATCTTAAAAAAAAAAGAGCCAAACAAAATGGAGATAAGCAATCTATAAGATACACAGTTCAAAACACTAGTTATACAGATGCTCAAGGAACTTAGGACTTCAGCAGCATAAAAAAGACCCAGTCAGTCATGAAGGATACACTAACTAAAATAAAGAATAATTTACAGGAAAACAACAGTAGACTGGATGAAGCTGAGAATCACATCAATGATTTGGAACAAAAGGAAGCAAGAAACAACCACACAGAACAAGAAGAAGAAAGAAGAATTAAAAAATGATAGTATAAGAAGACCTGGGACAACTTTAAGAGGTCCAACATTTGCATCATAGGGGTGCCAAAAGGAGAAGAGAAGGAGCAAGAAATTGAAAATCTATCTGAAATTATAGTGAAAGAAAACTTCTCTAATTTGGTGAAGGATATAGACATGCAAGTCCAATAAGCATGGAGAGTTCCAATTATGATGGATGCAAAGAGGCCCATTCAAAAACACATCATAATTAAAATTCCAAAGGTTAAAGATAAAGAGAGACTCTTAAAAGCAAGAGAAAAGAAGTTACCAGATGGTTGCAGATGGGAGGAAGGGGATGGATGAAGAGGTGAGGGGAATAAGAAGTACAAATTGGGACTTCTGGCCAAGATGGAGGCATAGGTGGTTGCACTGTGCCTCCGCGCACAACCAAAACTAAGGACAACAAGAATTTACAAACAAAAAAAACAACCAGAACACAGAGAAAAGAACTGAACGGAAGTCTGACTCCCATACATCCAGACCGGTAAGGAGGGGCAGAGTTGGAGGCCTATGGAGAGGGGTCGAGGGGTACCGGCAGGAAAAAGCGGTGGCTGGCAGACATGGGTGTGCAGGGCGCAGATGGCAGTTGGTGGACCCCAGAAGCACAGGGGCAGCTGACGGACCAGTGGCAGACCCTGGGCGCAGGAGGCAACGAGCAGACCCAGTGTGGCACGCAAGGCAGCTGGCTGTCTGCAGCCACACGTTTGCGCACAAACAAACTACGCGGAAAAAAGGGCAGCGACACAGACCGCGCAACCCAGGGACCCAGCGCCAGGAAACAAAGCCTAAAGGCACCAATGGAAAACACCTGTGGGAGTTGAGGCCGGGAGGTTCTCTCAGCCTCACAGGAGGCTCGTTGGGGAAATTCATAGAGTTGGAGAAAGTACACAAACCCACCCGCCTGGGAGCCAGCACCAGAAGGTTCCAATTTGCTTGTGGAAAGCGGCAAAGGGGACTGAAGTCCTAGAGAAAGCGGAGCAGGTGCCATTGTTCCCTCTCGGAACCTGCCCCCACATACAACGTCACAACCCAGTGACTGGATTGCCCCGCCCTGGTGAACACCTAACGCTCCGCCCCTCACACATAACAGGTGAGACCAGACCAAAGGAAAAAATAAAATAAAAAATAAAATAAAATAAAATAGATGGCTCAAATAGAGTTAAAAGACCCAGAGCCAGTTTTTTAAGCCACCAAGAAATAGCCAACCTATCAAATGCAAAGTTCAAAGCACTGGTGATCAGGATGCTCACAGAATTGGTTGACTTTGGTCATAAATTACATGAACAAATGCATACTACAATAAGAGAAATGAAGGAAAATTCACAGGGAACCAATAGTGATGGGAAGAAAACTGGGACTCAAATCAATGGAAGGGAACAGAAGGAAGAAAGGAACAACCAAACAGAAAAGAATGAAGAAACAAGAATTCAAAAAAATAAAGAGAGGCTTAGGAACCTCCAGGACATCTTTAAATGTTCCAACATCTGAATTATAGGGGTACCAGAAGGGGAAGAGGAAAAACAACAAGTGGAAAAGTTATTTGAACAAATAATGAAGGAGAACTTCCCCAATATGGCAAGGGAAATAGACTTCCAGGAAGTCCGGGAAGCTCAGAGAGTCCCAAAGAGGTTGGACCCAAGGAGGAACACACAAGGCACATCATAATTACATTACCCAAGATAAAAATGAAGGAGAGAATTCTACAAGCAGCAAGAGATAAGGAAACAGTTACCTACAAAGGAGTTCCCATCAGAATGTCAGCTGATTTCTCCAAAGAGACCTTACAGGCAACAAGGAGCTGGAAAGAAGTATTCCAAGTCATGAAAGGCAAGGACCTACATCCAAGATTGCACTATCCAACAAAGCTTTCATTTAGAATGGAAGGGCAGATCAAGTGCTTCTCAGATAAGGACAATTTGAAGGAGTTCATCATCACCAAGCCCTTATTATATGAAATGTTAAAGGGACTTATCTAAGAAAAAGAAGATAAAAAATATGAACAGTAAAAAAAGACATGAAACTCACAGTTAGTAACAACCATACCTAAAACAAGAGCAAACTAAGCAAACAAATAGAACAGGAGCGGAACCACAGAAATGGAGATCACATGGAGGGTTAGCAACAGGGAAGTGGGAGGAGGAGAGAGGGGGAAAAGATATAGAGAATAAGTAGCAAGGACAATAGGTAGAAAATAGACAGGGGGAGGGCAGGAATAGTGTGGGAAATGTAGAAGCTAAAGAACTTATGACACATGGACATGAACTAAAGGGAGGGAATGTGGGTGGGAGGGGGTGGGCAGGGTGGAGGGGAGTGAAGGGGGGAAAATGGGACAACTGTAATAGCATAATCAATAAAATATATTTTAAAAAGTAGTACAAATTAACTAGAAACTGCACTAAACTAGTAGTAGTAAACTAGGAAACTAAATTAGTATTTAGAACATTAGAGAAGAAATAATAGTATATTTTTCAAAAACTTTTTGGTAGCTCTACTCTAAGAAGACAAGCAACCCAATTAAAAAATGGGCAAAGGACTTGAACAGACACTTCTCCAAGAAGGACATGCAGAGGGTCCAGAGACATATGAAAAAATGCTCAATATCAGTAGCTATCAGAGAGATACAAATTAAAACCACAATGAGATACCACTTCACACCAGTCAGAATGACCATCATATACAAAGCAACAAACAACAAGTGTTGTAGAGGTTGTGGAGAAAAGGGAATCCTAGTGCACTTTTGGTGGTATTGCAGACTGGTACAACCACTATGGAAAACAATATGGAATTCCCTCAGAAACTAAAAATGGAACTGCTTTTTGACCCAGCAATTCCACTACTGGCTATTATATCCTGAAACACCAATCCAAAAGAACCTGTGCACCCCAGTGTTCACAGCAGCACAATTTACAATAGCCAAGTGTTGGAAGCAACCTAAGTGCCCATCAGTAAAAGAATGGGTCAAAAAACTATGGCACATTTACACAATGGAATTCTATGCAACATAAAGAAAGAAGGAGCTCCTACCCTTTGTGACAGCATGGTCACATGGAACTGAAGACCATTATGCTAAGTGTAATAAGCCAGTCAGTGAAAGACAACCTCACCTTTAACAAGAACCTAATCAACAAAACAAACAAGCAAGCAAAATATAACCAAAAACATTGAAATAGAGAACAGGCTGACAGTGACCAGAGGGGAAAGGGGAGTGGATTATAGGGGGAAAGGGTGAGGGGTTTTCAGGAGCAACTATAAAGGTCACTTAAACAATAACAAGGGGAGGTGGAAACAGGGTTGGGGTGGTGAGGAGGGGTCGGGGGAAAAGGCATAAAACTACTTGAACAGTAAAAAATGTTGAAAAAAAAAGTAATGAATTGCATATGCAGTAGCCAGAAGTTGAAATCTTAGTATTTTATTCATTCCCTGAAATGTAAGCTTTATGACAGCAGGAGTTGTGGGCATGAGGTTCACTGTATCTTGAAGGCCTAGAGAGAGGAAGGCACAGAAGTGCTCAATAGTGTTAATTGAAGGAACACTATTGAGATGTTCCTTCTCAATAGTGCAGATATAATTTTCTCAATAGTGCAGATGGAATTTTCTATTCATTTGTTGAAGATAAATTTACTGAACTCTTACCAAGTAAAAATATTTGTGTAGAATACAAAGATAAGTAAGATACAGAAGTTAACCTTAAGGGATTTTTAATTTATTAGAGGAGCTAATAAATATAGTATGATAATACAAAATAGAAATGAAAGGAAGTATTAGGCATTGGTTTTGTATTTTTAAAATCATGTTAAAAGCATTTCCATACCAACTTAATGCCTCACAAAATGCTCTGACATGTACTGCATGCTAAATAAATGTGAAGGATTATTATAGTTTAAATAAATAACTAAAATTTCTGGTAGCATTTAATGTTGAGGGCTCTTTTTGAGAACTGTGTACTTTGGTTAAGCAGTATTAATGGAGGTTGAGCTGATGATATTGTTTCTAGAAAAGAGAAAATATGCTTAAAGTAATAATATATACATATGTAAAATAAAACTAATTCCATGCTCAGTTTAAGTCTAAAAAAAAGGAAGTGCACAGAGGTAGTTACAGAATAGGCATGGAGATGTAAAGTGCAGTATAGGAAATGGAGAAGTCAAAGAACTTACACGCATGACCCATGGACATGAACAATGTTAGAGGGATTGTCTGAGGGAGTAGGCGGTGCTGGGTGGAAGGGGGTAAAGGGAGTAAAATCGGGACCACTGTAATATCATAATAAAATATAATTTAAAAACAAATAAAAATATATAAAATTAAAATAAAGGCAAGTATCTGCCCCAAATCCATTCCATTGTAAAAAATATATATATATATCCAAAGAAAAATGACCCTGCCACCCTCTGCCAGGCCAGATTGGTCCTAGGCCACACCCAGAATTCCCTTTCCCTTTAAATGTAACATTCTTGGGATAATGCAGGTGGCTGAAGTATCCTGGTTATGGTCTGCTCCCAGTATCCCTTGGAGTCTGCATGCTCTTCCTTCTTTGGCTTCTGCCCATCAGTCCAGCCCATGCTCCCCATCTCTTCCGTGCCATCTCACCAGTGCAACTGTGTGCTCAGCTAGGCAACATCCAGGCCTGGATGGGGTGGCTGCCGGGCACTGCAGCAGATGTGTTGTGGCTCCATTGTGCAGGCCACAGGTCTGGTACCAGCCACTTGGCCTAATGGTTTCCAAGACTAGCCAGGGCACAAAGCACAGACCAGCTAAGCACCTTCCCACACATCTGTGTGGTATGTCTGAAGCCCTGCCCAGGGAGTCAGAATTTGGCACCAGCAAGTTCAGAAACAACCTACCCTTGCAAACACATTAAGATCCCAAGAACTGATGCTGTCTCACGAGTTCACTTGTACCCACTCTGGGACAAGTACCCACTCTGGGACTGTACCCAGTCCCAGGCACAACCTTTGATCCTATCTCCAGGAACCCAAGTTCTATCTAGATAAAACTTGCTTTTCTTCTAACTCAGACTGGTTTTTGAATTCTTTCCTGCATAAGTCAAGAGCCTGAAGGTCCCAGACTGTGTTAAGGCTGGGCCAACTCAGCTCAGAACTGGTCTGGTGACAAAAAGAACTAAAAATTATTGAATGAATGAATGATAGGCAAAGCCTCATCAATTGAAAACACATAATTGCCCATTATGAGCACAAGTCAGGAAAATTTTATTAAACAAGACCAGAGTAATAAACAATTAGATGCCTTGTGACTGCATTGATAGTTATGAAAAGCAAATTTCAATGGGTCTGTGTTGATAGGTCAGCCAAGACTTAGAGCTTAAAAGTTAGAGAAATAATAAGTGCTCCATATGTGTAAATATTATAAAATACTAACCATAGTGACTTTAACTTTATCCTAAAAACAAGGGAAAATCCACCAGGAAGGAACCTAACTCTATAAGTAGTAATCACTAATAAATAATTAGAATTACACACTAAAATTCAAAGCTTAAACTATGGAGCATAAACTAGAATAACATCAAAAGTGACCAAACAATAGGTTTTTGTAAACATTAGGTTTTTGTAAACAATTGGTTTTTGTAAACAATTTTACAAGTAAGGATAGGAAATAGGATAGGTTTATGACATATGCCTGGGTGTGTCATAAAATTCAAATTCTACAGAGCATTTTAAAAATTATATTAAATCTGTGTTTGTTACATTAGCTTGGGTTTACTTTCCTTCCCAAATAATTATAATCATGAGCACAAGAAGGAATCTGAGTGTAAGTGAAGAGGTAGATATTTAATCAGGGTAGACAATCTGGAGAAAAAGGGAGTACCTAACTTACAGGGCCAACCCATACATACAAATTTTTTATATCTTTAATGAAGGTTTAATTCCTCAATTGCAGGTGAAATTTTCTGATAAATGATAAAAGGAGAGTTTTATGAGCTCCACCCATCATTGCTTTTACTTGGCATTTTGTGTGACTGCAAATGACTTAGTAATCCTGGCAAATGTCAGCATGTAACCAAGTACAGACATTCTGCATCTGTGCATCATGTTGTAATTGACAAAACTTGAAAATGATCATTTTTAGACACCATTGTATACTACAGATGAATGCATTAAATTTTCGTTCATAATATAGGTTTATTTTTATCACTGGTTCATGGTTACAAGTTATGTTGTTAATTGCTTAGCAATTTACACTAACTCATCCTCTTTTTTTCTTTGATTCACAGTTACTAGGATATAACTAGGATATTACTAGGATGATTTAGAATGAACTACATGCAACTTCTTGAAGTTAAATAACTACCCTACTTATATAGTAGCTGCAAACTGCTGCATTTATTTTAAAATATGAATGTGTTTTGAATAAATGAGAGGAAAGAAAACTAAGGGAGTAGGACAGTTCTTAATATAATATTCAAAATAAACTTTATTAAAGGAGAATAAATTTCATAACTACATTAAAAACAGAATCCTATATTATTTTATTATATTTTTAAAGAATTCTGAAGCCTCCAAACCCCTGCTGGGCCAGTGAGTTACTGGCTGTTGTGAGAGCAAATTTTTTCAGCTTACTAATGCTTCCATTGCCAATGGGAATAAGCACAAAATTGGCTGCATTTCTGGGAGCTAATTAGGATTAAATTTCCAAACCTGTGGCAGAATAAATAATAAATTACATGTGCCTTTGTGCATGCCACTTCCTCTGTCTGCAAAGCCTTTCATCCCCTCTACTTCCCATGGGTCAAGACAAAGCTCTTGACACCGAAGCTTGATTTCCCCAGGTAGAAGTTATCAGTCAGTCCCTCTCCTGAAACCCTACACTATTTTGTCTCTACCATTTACTGTTGTATCCTCATGGTCATATGTTACTTTAAAAAGACATCTTATGCTTATAACATTTAAATACTTTTATTACCAGTTGAAAGTTTGATTTCTTTTTGATAAAAATTGAAAACAATCGACTTAGGGTGAAGGCCCACCATAAAGAAAAAGAATGGCATACTTGTATCTATTTGCCTGGCCTATTACCTTGTTGAATGCTGAGAAAAAGAACCAAGGCATAAGACACACAAGGAATAGACAGGATTAGAAAAAGATTAAATTTAATTATTTTTTAGACATTCAAACAATAGGGAATTATGTGTTCTTATTTAAAAGTAAATTATAATACTTTTCATTTGAAGTCATTTCTTTGTAAAATATTAGAAAATTTTATATTTGAATTAAAAATATGAATTTATATTCCTCTAAAAAATGAATAGTCGATGTTAACATCCATACATACACATTTCTTCCACTTTCTTATTTAACTGCCTGGATTTTCTGTTATTGTTCAGACAACATCTGGCAAATGTCATAAAATGTGGAGTCACAGTCTTCAGAACTCATTCAATTTCCTGTTGTGACAGCGCAGCTCATGCTATCAGTTGATCCAATTATCAAAAAGCTGGGAAATAAAGGGCAGACTTTAGAGAATTTATCTTATGATAATAGTTGCATTTATTAAAGTTTTCTCCAGTCAAACTTGTATAGGTAACTCCTCAGCAGCCAAAATGTTGCAGATGTTTTCAAATGGATGCTTTTATTATTGCCAATGATTGTAGTTGGTCACTCTTGATTTGCTTGCCCTCCAAGCCCTCTCCCCACCCTCATACCTACCTGAATGTCTCTCTTATTTGAGTAACATCAATATAGAGCTTCAAACTTTAAGACTAGAAGCATCCCTGTCTCTTTCCTTCCCTCTTAACTCTTGCCTTACATATATCATCAGGTTCTGGGAATTCTATCCCCAGCTAGTTCTCATATTCATTCACTTCTAGCTCATGCTACTGGTACCTCTCCCTTATCTCTGGTCATTGTCTTCTAACTAAACTTCAGTTTCAACTTTGCTTCCCATATATTAATTTTCCACATAGCAGCACAAATAATTTTCTTTAAAGGGTAATTAGATGTTAAAATGAAAGTTTTGGTAAAGACTGCATGGTGAAAAATGTCTTATACCAAAGGTAATTACAAAGCAGTAATCTAGGAAAGAATTTCTTTTTAAAGTTAAAGTAAAAACTGTGAAGATGACAACTTCCTTGTTCAACTTCTATGGTGTGATAGGGTTAGGAAAATGTGTGAACAGAATATTTTATAAGAAATCTATTTTTAAACTATTGTTTTAGTTACAAATTATTGTTTAAAATATAACCAAACACTATTGTAGCCATCATTTTTGTTAAATAATTAATTAAAATCTTTTAAAAAGTGATGTGTTGTCCTAACAATATCTTGGTTTCCAAATTAAAAAAAAAGAGCCTACATATTTCTTATTAATTTTTTCAAAGACTACCATCAAAATAGGTTAAAAAAATTGAATAGTACTTCATGCTTTTGTTTTATATTCATGAAATATAATGGATAATAGAAGTATAAATATCCAGACTGACATGAATGGTCACACCATGACCTTTGCTCTAACTTGCCAGGTCTCAGGTGCTCTAATAGTGTGACATGTAAAGCAAATGAGAGCACAGAGGAGAATGGAAAAATGTACATCACACTTAGGAATGTTAAAGCACTCTTCCACTTATTACATTATGTTGTTCACACAAGAACATTGTGAGGAAAGTTTCATTCTTCTTTTCATACAAATAAACAAATTGATATCAACAAATTTCAGAGAATTTTGTAAGGGCAAAGTTTTAAATTCATACTTCCTGATATCAGCTAAAGGTATTTTTTTTACATATTCTGGGTGCTTTTATTTGTAAGTGAATTATATTTTTGCACTTACTATATAAAAATATTTGCTTCAAATTATTTTAATAAGATTCAAGTCAGCTTAAAAATTTTTTAAATTGGTTTTTGACAATAATTTCCAAATGCCATAATGAATACTTTATAACCCCATTCTCAACATTATTAAATGTTAAGGAAGAAGGAAGAGCAAAGAAAGAAAGAAAGAGAGAGAGAGAGAGAGAGAGAGAGAGAGAGAGAGAGAGAGAGAGAGAGAGAGAGAGAGAGAGAGAGAGAGAGAGAGAAAGAAAGAAAGAAAGAAAGAAAGAAAGAAAGAAAGAAAGAAAGAAAGAAAGAAAGAAAGAAAGAAAGAAAGAAAGAAGAAAATAGGGGAAGAAAAAGAAAGGTAAGAAACAAAGGAGAGAGATAATTTTAAAAAGAAGAGGCAAGATAGAAGAAAGGTTACAAAAAACCTTGGGAAAAAAAGATAGCTTAATTAAAAATACTTTTTTAAAATAAATAGTATCATTATAACATTCCTCTCCCTCAAAAAACTACTTACTTTTTTGTTCCACAAAAGGGTGTTCATTTATCCACGCCCATTGCTTTCCTGGGGGCATAATGTATAGTCCAACCCAAATAGGCTGACCAGGTTGTAAACTTTTCTGTATGAATTCCTACAGAAGGAATAGTTCATTCATTTATTCACAAACATGCCAATGTCTTCTACAGAGTAAGGCACTGTGCCAGGCATTAATAAGGAAGTAAATAATTATTTCTTTCCTAAATAATAGGCTTCTTATCATAAACAACAGTAATTATATTAGGGCTAATGAATGTTCAGATCGATGACTATAAACTACCCACACTTATTAGAACTGCACCTAACAATTCTTCCTGGAGCACTTAGATTCCATGTTTGATTCCTCACCAGCTCTTTCAAAGTGTGAATCACCGGCAAATGTGCCTGGAGCTTTGTGCAATCATGTTGACTCTCATTCCAAGTTTTAGAAGAAGCTGAAAACTTGTAACACTTCCCTTGGTTCAGCAGCCAGTCATTTTGGCATATATAATTGTCTCCTAAAAAAATGCAAGAAAAAGTTAATGAAACTCTACAAAGTTAATATACTTTGTACCAGGACAAGAGCTGTCAATTCTAAATAGTTATAATTTTGCAAAAACATAATTTAAAGACTCAGGATAATTGGATCCTAATTTCAACTGTACAAGTACATAACTAAAAAGTATAAAATAACCTCAAATATACCTCACAATTTAAATTTGAGGGGAGCTATTTATTTACTATTATTAGTGAGAAGGAATCATTTGGACCAAGTGATTCCATTAGGTGGGTATTGATGGAAGGTGAATGAAGTACAGTTTGGAGCTGCAAAATGCATTGGAAATAGTCCAAATTATCAGTGTAAGATGTTAAAACACCAAACCATGATTCAAAATGTGGACACCAATTGTCCAAAAATCTAATAGAGTTAACTTAGTTTCAAATGTTATCTTCTATAAGAAGAAATATTATGGAGATAAGGATGGAGAAAAAATTTTATTTGCCCAGACTTTGTATCAATTCTCATCTCAAGTGTTTTGCATAATAATAACAACAAACACATATAACTATTATTGTGGGTTTCTAAGCACCTAACATATATTTAGTTTTTAAAATAACTTCATAAAATAATGGAACATGTTAAATGACATGATATAAATGTAAACAGAAAAAATCCAGAGTATGAGATATTATACAAAACCATGACCCATTTTTTTTCTAACAAATAAATGGCAAAGAGAAAATAAATAAAGTAAAGGGGATCTAATAATTAAGAGATTCAAGAGACATTGAGACATTTTAATGGAATACAACTGTGTTCTTTCTGATTCCAATTCTAACCAATCAAAATAAATAAATAAATAAAAAGCCATATTAATGGTGACTAGATAATAGAAATATTAAGAAGTTATTGATAATTTTGTTAGGCATTGTGGTAGACAGAATTCTAAAATGGCTCCCACGATTCCTGCCCCTTGTGTACATGGTCTGTATGATTCCCCCCATGAATGTGAGTCAGGCCTGTGAGTATTATGGGATGTCACTTCCATGGTTAAGTTTTACTATATTGCAAGGTGAAGGGATTTTGAAGACAAAAAAAAAGAGTCCCCAGTCAGTTAATTTTGAGTTCATGAAAAGAGATATTATCACAGGAGGGCATGACTTAGTCAGATACAAGACCTTATAAAGGGGACTGGGCCTTCCTTGAAGAGAGAGAGAAGTCCTATTGGCTCTGAAGAATTAAACTTCCATGTCTTCAAAGTCTATATGAGAGTACATGATGGCAAGAAAAATGCAGGAGCTTAGAGTAGCCCTGGGTGAAAGCCAACAATAAAGCAATGACCTCAGTCCTACAACCACAAGTAACTGAATTGTACCAATAACAACATAAGTTCACAGGAAGAACCTCAGCTCCAGAAATGTGTGTGGTCTGGAAAACACCTAAACTACATGCCATGAGACCCTGAACAGGAGACCTAGTTAATCAATGCTCATGCTTTCAACCCATGGAGGTTGAATATTAAATAACTTTTGGTTCAAACTGGTAAATGTGTGGTAATCTGTTGCACATCAAGAGAAAACTAACACAGGAGTTATAATGATGTTGTGATTATATTAAGCACAAAAAGCCTTTATTTGTAAGATTCATGTACTGAAATATTTAAATATTAAATGGCATGATATCTGGTAATTGCTTTAATACAATCTAGTTTGGGAGTTTGTTAATGGAAGAGATACAAATAAAATAATACTGATTATGTACTAACAATTTTATATTGTTGGTCAGTTATAGTTGTCTGGCCTTTTTCCCTATTGCTCACCCCACCCCTCCCCCCTCCACTCCCACAGTGAATCTCCCCCATTGTGAGCATCCATGAGTCCTCTATTTGTTCTTCTTTGCTTTGACTCTTTGAAAGACACTTAGTTTTACTTCTAGTTTTCATAATAAAAATCTAAGAATATATAAAATAAAATCTTCTAAAGTAAGTGTTACTATCACCCCCAATTTATAAATGAGAAATTAGATAACATATTGAATAATTTTCTCAAAGTCATACAACAGATAAATATCAGACTTAAAATTCCAATACAGTTGTTTTTCTCCTGACCAACTAATGCATCATTCTATATTACTTGGTGTGTTAGGGAAATAGAACAGAGAGAGAAAGAAATTTATTTCAAGGAATTAGCTCACATGAAGAGCAGGTTGGCAGGCTGGAGACCCAGGGAAGAGCCGATGTTGCAGCTGGAGTCTGGAGTGTAGAGGCTGAATTCCTTCTTCCTTTGTGGAACCTCAGTATTTTTTCTCTTAAGCTTTCCAGCTGATTGAACGAGACCCAGTTACATTATGGAAGATAATCTGCTCTCCTTAAATCTACTGGTTTAAATGCTAATTTCATCTAAAAAGTACTTTCACAGTAATATCTAGACTAGTTAGTGTTTGACCAAATATCTGGGTACCATGCATGGCCTAGCCAAATTGACACAAGGAGGTCTGTTCAGAAGTATTCAATTATATAATAAGAAAAATAGAGACAATTACTGAATAAGATACAAGATACAAAAACATTGTATACAGAACAATGACACCTCAGTCCCCTTCAAAGTAGGCACCCTGGGACCTCACACAGTTCTTCCTGTGTCTCTTCTGCTGTTCAAAACACTCTGCAAAATCCTTTGTTGGAATCATCATCAGCTGCCCCATTGTATTCTCCTGAATCTCATCTTTGGTTTGAAATCTCCTGCCTTCCAAAGGTGATTAGTTGTGGGAAAAGTCAGAAGTCACAGGGCACCAAATATGGTGTGTAGTGGGGCTGAGACACGTGGGTGATTTGATGTTTCACCAAAAACTTTGCTCAAGATGTGATGCATGAGTGGGTGCGTTGTTGTGATCAAGCTGCCAATCACCCATTGCCCATAGCTGCAGCTGTTTTGGTCATGTTGAAACTCTAAACCAATGAAGAACATTGAGGTAGTCTCCTTATTAATTGCTTGTTTCTGAGGAGCATACTTATGGTAGACAACACCTTCCCAATAAAAAAAACATGGTTAACATGGTCTTGGTCTTGCTGCAAATCTGCTGTGCCTTCTTCAGGTGTGGAGAACCAGGCAAATTCCATTGGGATGAGATCATAGCCATAGACCAGTGATTCATCTTTAGCTATGAGCTTCTTGAGGAAATCTGGTTCATTGGTAGCAGTTTGAATCAAGTCATTAGCAACTCAGCACAATGTTCCTTCTGCTCTAGTAGTAGAAGCCACAGAACAAATTTTGCCATGACACATTTCATGCCAAGATCCTTCATCAAAATCTCCGACACAGTAGTTTTTGGAATCCCCATATCAGCTTCTAGTTCTCACACTGTCAAGTCACTGAGCTTTGTTGATTGCAGCTGGTTCACACTCAACATTCTTAGGTGTTCTGCTTGTTGCAGGCCTTCGAGACATGGATCGCTTTCAACAGATTCTGGATCATCTTTGAAATACTTGTGTCACACTTTTCTCTGTGCTGCATTCATTGCCTCAACCTCAAAAGCATTCTGAATCATCCAAATTGTTTCTGCTAAGAAATGTTCAAGTTTAACACAAAATCTGATGCAGATCTGATGCAAATCTGATGCTCTACTTGCTCAGTCATTTTGAATGTGAGTACACGTGCTCACTCAATGGCATCTACCACCCCCACTGACTAGTACAGTGAAGTCTCATTCAGGACATGTGCATTCCAATCCATGCTCCTTGGCTACATCAATGTCTTGCAAACTGTTATTATAATAACAATGGCTGGACTTTTTCTGGACAGAAAAAAGGTGTGCAGAAAGCAACTTGACTTTGGGGAAAACTATATCTAAAATAGGAAATGTTATAGGAAAAAAACCTTGAGCTGATTTTAAGATAAAAATACAAATATTATGTCACAGAGTAATAACATGAGATCATTAGTATCTGTTAATAATCCAACAAAATTTCTTTACCAAGTAAATTGCTAATAGCATGTGAAATTCTCAGAGAAGGTAAAAAAAAGCATAGTTTCTAAAAAGTCAAGAGTTTAGAATAAAATACAGAGGAATGTAGAACTGTGTCATTAGGTCTGCAAGGAAAATTGCAAAGGGTAGAAAATATTAGTAGGCATGTAGTATATGAACCCCAGAATAAATTATCAAAAACAAAATTTAATTTTACAAAATAATTCACAGTGTAAAGCTAAAAACCACTCCATATGTCAGTAATTTTATTGACCTGGCACATAATTTTAAGCACTAAATGAAAATATGTTTACTGAATAAAATGAATAAAGTAATTTTTAAGGAGTTTTAATACAATCTTTCATTTGAGCCTTGATCTAAGATAATGTCTGAGAATACCATGAGGAAAAATTTCATGTAATGGATCTATTAGCCAATTCATTCTGTAATTTAGTTGGTGAGACTTCATGCATGCCAGAAACTGTGATAAGTACAAGGAAGAAAATAAGTATGATTCCTGCCCTCAAAGAATTTACTCTCTAATTTATGACTTGACAATTACAAACAATGTCATGAGCTTTATATACAAAATCAGATGAGAGCATTAAAAATATGAGAAGCTATTAAATTAGTACTCTACTTGGGGGTTCAAAACAAATTCCAATTCAATATTGTCAGGTAACCCTATTTTCAATAATTATATGTATAAATAAGTAAAAAAAAATGAAAGAAGTGAAAAATATTTGAGCTGAACATCTTAGTTGCTCCCCAAGGCCCTCCCAAATGGTGGTCATATTGCATTCCAAAGTGTCTCTTGAATTAGATGCTTTAGTTTTTTGTGTCTGGATTATTTCATGGCCAAGTTGCAAACAAGTTCAACTTTCAATCAATTTTACATCAAGGCATATATGATTTCAAGTTAAAAGAAACAAAAAGAAGAATACAAAAGTAAGTCATTTTAAAATTAGATCCAGTAAATAGTGAAGAAACAAGAATGACTGAAGTGGGAGAAAATAGCAGGTGACCTAATAAGAGAGACCACTTAGGACATAG